TCACGTGAAATTTAATAACATACTGCTTTTTGAATGATCTATTCTTTAAACGAATTTTGTACTTAAACATTATTTCCATCGAATTCAAGTCACCTTTCACAAAAAATTTCTTCTATTTCAGTTTGCGACAGTCTCGATCAACAATCACTCGATCGAAATTCCACAACACTTAACAAAAAGTGGGTATCAGTACAATTTTATTCACAGAATTAAATTGTAGCATTAACAGAATTAATTGGTAGCAAAATGCTACCCAAACATGCAAGGTAATCAAGGTAAACGTGTCCATCCATTAAAGTTTAGGGGTAACGCCACGATGACAGGCAAGAAATGGTCAAATAACTTTGGAGGTGTTTTTTAAGGAAGTTGTTAACTTCATTACAAATGTAACGTAAGGTCTTTATGTTTAAAAAGGAACAAGAACAGTTTGTTTAGTATTTTTGAATGAAAAATAACGGCGCGGTAATCGCATGACCGGTATGTACTTTCCATTTGGGTCATTCTGTGGTGAAATGTTTGATTCCACACCGTTGGACATACAACAAAAAGACAAAAAGTTTTACCATCTACACTCTAAATATGTACTAAAAAAGTACTCAAGATTTCGAGAAAGTATTGACTTTTTATGAAATGGCGAACATTTGAAAACAATTCTTTTTCTGGCTGAAAAATATGTTGTGATTATGTACTAAATCTATTAATTACAAAAGGTGCTTTCAATATTTTGCAAAAATCATGGGTACTTTTCCAATATTTAGATTGAAGGTGACAAAACATTTCACCGCAGAATGACTTAAATGGAAAATACGTACTGATCGTGCAGCTATTGTACCGCTACTTTTATTAAAAAATTTTAAACAAAATTTTTATTGTAGTTATACATATCATAAGGACCATGTACATTGTTGGACCTTGCACATATACCAATGTTACATTTTTAATAAAGTTCATGAATTCTTTAAAATCACCATCAAAGTTATCCTGGTATTTTTGGCCTATCATTACTTCTTAATTCGTGTACAGCCAAAACACCAAAAACTTCTCGAAGTACGATGTTCGTGGCAGAACGAAGCGTTTGCCAAGACGAATAATGCACAAACGTGTACACAGAGAGTTTGAACGACGGACGAATTAACGAGGTGGGCCGTTTCGATTAACGTTGGCAGACAAAGTAGACGATAGAATGCAGCGTAGAAAGGAACGAGAGGTCTCGACTTGACTGACAGAAAACAATTCGTTCTTGGTACAGGTCCTGAGATAATGAAACGAAACCAAAATTCCCTTCGTTAATCGAATGTCCACAGAATAACCGTGTTCGTCGACTGAAACCGACCAATCCTATTTCACCCTTGTGACTATGGCGATGAATAAAACAGCGCAGCCTCGCCAAAGAAATCATACCGACGAATTCTTAACTCCTTGGTTCTCTTTCTACGCCGTCGTCTCACTACTGGTTTCCTCTCTCAGTTTGCTCTTCCCTTGTTCGTCCTCCAAGCTTCCCGTTTCTCTCTTTCTCGGCCCAAGTCTTCGGATCGTTGAAAGTCCGGAAGTGCTTTCTCCTTCGTGGCAAGCCTTCTGATCAAGGGCTGAAATCCGCGTAAGAGACAGCGAAATGTGAAATAGATGGATGGAAGGTAGACGGCAAAGTCGACCCCTTTAGGTCGTACAATTACGGATTTAACCCCTTATATTCTGGACGTATATGAGACCGAAATTTTTTCTATTTCATTCTTCAAACTTCATCAATTCGAGATACGGTGTAATATCGATTATTTAACCGACAATCGCTTAACAGAACGTTCGGTTACACGAACTGTACTTGTTTTTACTAGTGCTCAGATCGTTCAGGTGTGGTAAGAGATTTGCACAAGAGTGCCAACTAAACGAAAAACACTCAGGACCACCCTTATTAGACAGACTGAGTCTCGTAACGTGACGACTTCAAATAACTTGTAAGTTATTTGTTTAGATATTTTATAATAAGTTGCGGATTTTATGCCTCTATAGCGTACATGACCATACAAAACCTAGTATAACAAAAAATTCAATAATTTTTCTGGGAACCTGTTAGAATTGATAATATAGTAAACGAATTTTACTTCATGCCAGTGTTCGGAAATTACCCAGTTTAAATTGTTATTGTATTAAAATATTCGTATTTCATTATTCGATTTTTTACTTAATATTGAAATCACTGTTATTATTTTTTGTTTATATACTATTCTACTAGACAGAACTAAATAGATAGAAATAAATAGTGCATTTGTATAAATCAGTTTCAATTGTCGATAACTATCCGTTGCTAAATAAATTCTACAAATTTATATTATTTAATACTCTATTTTTAATTTAAAAATGAGAAAATGTGTTTAAACGCTTTCTAATATTTATGTAAACTCAGTCTGTACACTTCTCACTATGATTGGTATTATTATTCCCTACCTGTGGTTCGTATTAGGACCATTTCCAGACGCTAGCAACGTTCGTTGCTTCCTCTTTGTATTTTATCTTCAGTTGATCATTGAAAGCCTTCGGAAGCTTTTCTTCTCGCGGAATAGAAAGTATCCGTTGTCCAAGAAAAAGAATTGGCGACGCAGAAGACAGGGGAAAGAGAAACCGATGGAATAAGGGCACGTACACCGGAAGTGGTGTTTCGCGAATGTTATGAAAGTAGAAACAGCCAACGCCAGGGCGGATTGAAACAAAGGATCTCGTCTATGTAGTGTAACCATCCCGAAGCTAAAGAAAGTGAATACGTGGTCGAACTGGTTTCAGAAAGGACCAGATTGATTAAGGGGTCATGCTCAGTCAGAAATTTTCAAAAAATCGATTTTTCACTTTCTACATTTTCTTTAAGTACAACATCTCGAGAATATTCTGTGCAAGTTTCAAGGTAATCCAATTAAAAATGACAGAGTTACAGGCGTTAAAAAATGAACATTTTATATAAGTGTAAGTTTGACTTGAAACTTTAAACGCGTTTTTCTCGAAACTACATTTTTCAAATCGGTGATCAATATTTCTCAAGTATCCATGTATTCTGTAGATTCTTCATTATTATTTAATTTACTAATTATTGTTATACCCAAAGCTTTTACTATTACTTTTTTCGTGGCTCACTCTAACCTAGCCAGTTTATTGGTAATAATCTAATCGTTTCTAAGTAACAATTAGCAATCTATACCAAATTAAGAGAAAGGCAAGGAAAAGCGTAACTGTCCGATAATTTAAAATGATAATTGCTATCATATCTGAAATATGTTCGAGAACATGGATAGAAATACATGTCCTCATTTTTACAATAGGTACCACGAAAGTATAACGGCTGCTTTCCAAGTATTTGCAGAGTTGCCTGCTTTCAAGAAATTTTTCAATGACTCGACTGAACAAAATCATGCTTTTATCTATCGATAGCGCTTCACGTGAATGTACGCCGATACGAAAGCGATTCCTAGAACAGCATGTAGGAAATATGGAAAGAAATAATGGCCTCGTAGGAAGGAGAATCTGTGGTAAAGTGGAATCGAGCGATCAGCTCCGCCAACTCTCTAAAAATGGATACATATACTTTCACACATACGTACAAACTATAATTGGACGTTGCAAGAGATCTTTGAATCTTTGTTTCCCATCCTAAAACGTGGTATATACGACTGAATATGTGAAATTCGTCCTATTACAAAAAGGAAGTACAGACAATTGCCTCTTTTGTCAATAACATGGATTTAAATATTGAATTGAAAATAGTGCTTGAACTTATTTCTCAATCGACATAATGTTAGTGTTTTATAAACCGAGAAGATTACGTGGAATTCGATATTTCGTTTCCTTCAAAACCTTATTGAAGTGTATATACCTAAGTATAGAAATAACTAAGAATTCATAAGTTTTTGAAAAAAGTGTAGCGATAACAAATATCTGCATCGTTCATCGTTCAAGTCCCGCAATGTTGAAAGACTATTGCCTGAATCTTCACTGCATCGATCTTGAATAATATCTCAAATTGTGTGGTACGATAGTCTCCGATTGACTACTGTAATTAATGCATCTACATCGAATCCATTAATGTTTACTGTTGCCAGTTTTAATATGTTTAAAATATTTTTTACTGACAAACTAATCTTTATTTTGTCTATTGGGTGAAAGAGATAGAGTAATTTAAATTACGTGAATAATTAAAATATACTTCATATTGTATAACTTTTTAACCTATCATGTTACACTAAAATCTTAACGTGGTAGTAGTTGGGACATCTACCCCAGCATCATCCGTCGATAAAATGTCAATCCTCTTTCGTGTTATCCCCAAAAGAATCTACACACATTGGTTTCTACTACCTTCCATTATAGAATACAATAAATCTTAACATTTGCCTAATGTAAATCTTAACATCCCCTAACACTGTTGTCTAACAATAGAACAATTATCATTCGCACATCTTTTCAGAAAGTTCATTCACTACTCATCACTAAGTACATTCGATCTCTGAAACATTCTACACAAGAAACAAGCGATCAAATAAATTCAAAATTTCTCCGGTCAGATATTCAAATAGCTTCGTGTTTGAATCGATTGAATACAGTGTAGCAGCGTAGAATTTAGGATTAGCGTAAGACAGTTTTGCCCTCTCTCACGAACCCATTTAGACTCAGATTAGGTCCCAACTATAAGCAGACGGACGCAATTGAAACGCCTTACACCTTATTCAAGTAAATACAAAATTCCACCAAAATCAATTGCAAAGTGTTCAGTGGCGTACAATGTAGGATCAGGATGAGACAGTTTTGCCCTGTCTCGGTCTGTACCCATCTAGGCCTTCATTAGGTCCCGGCGAGAGAGAGGCGGGCGCAGTCGAAACCTGTTAAACAAATGACAATGGACCCGTACGAAAGGTGGCCCGCGATAAAGACGAGATACGTGGAGCCGGTCGTAGATCGTGTGAACCACGGTAGGATGCAGTGATACCGTGGTGACCGACCAGTGGATCGACGGGAGGACGATGCATCACTCTGGCGGTACCGGTTACGGGACCGGGCCCCAGGAGCGAGTGCACCAAGCGCCGCGAACTGTTGGCCAACCTGATAAGTGTCCGTACGAGACCTACCAGGCGCAGATACCGGACTGCTGTGCAGCCGCCGCTGCGGTGCAGGATCCGTATCCACGACCGCCAAGCGGGTACGACGGCAGGTGCTACGATGAGTGTCATCGTAGGACCCCCTATCAGGAGGATACCTATTCCCAGGTACGTGACACGATTTTATTATTTCTCAATTTTCGTTGGTCTTCTCCGGCACCACCTCGACACGATATACTCGAGGAAATTGCATATAGTATCGGACAAATGTTTGCGGATAGAACACCTTATGCTGTTCCTTATGGTATTTGGATTAGGGATACCATTCATGTTACATTAAGTAATCAATGCCAGTTTTTCTTAAGCCCTCGTTCTCCTATAACAGATGGAAAAAGAGGTGGTATTTAAAAATTGTTTTTAAAGAAAGGAAAGAAGATATGATAAGAAAACTTCCTGGCCTTTATTTATTATACATTGAAGTAAAAAAATTTTTGATTCAATAGTTATGCAGCGGAGGAAATTGTAGGTGGCGTTAGTTGGGTTGATCCGAAATTGTTCCTAAAGTTATTAACTGATTTTATGAATTTTCGTGGCATTCTGTTTGTAACTGAATCGGTTAACGTATGACCTATCATTAAAAATTTTTATGCATACATTTTGTTGTTATTTACAACGACATGCGTACAATTTCTCTTTTCTTACATGTCTTTATTAAAACTCATAGCAAATGCGGTCATTTTGTTTTTTTGACTTCATAATAGGTTGTACGATACGCGTTGGAGAAACATCCAATAATATTTTTGGAATTTTTATTTCGGACTACTCTACGCAGATAGCATCGTACATCCAACGGACGTCCGTTTCATGTCCAGTTTATATACGAATGTTCTATTTCCACTTTGGTCATTCCTAGGTTTTTCATAAGACTTAAATTTCGGATGTTCTAGGACTGTCCGTCTCTTAAGTCTTAAGAATGTTCATAGGATTTAAATTTCGAATGGTTTCGTTAGTCATTTTGGCTCAATATCATTCCGTAGAAGGTGCTAGAATACCATGAGCAAGGTGTCATTCTTTACAGAATCAATTGCAAAGTGTAACGACACTAGTGGTTTTGTGTGGAAATCTCAAGAAATTTGAAAACATGTTCTTTTTCTTAAAGTATCTTTAACCAACACCGAATCCGTACTTTACTTTGAGTAAGTGGTTTTTTTAATAATATAAATAAATATAAAATAGAATATAAAATAATAAATGTAATATATAATAGAAAATAAATATAAACACAATGTATATCCAGATTATAATCCCCAGACATATATTTTCATTATAATTCCTTATAGGAAATTTAGTCTTTAATTTATTAATAGGAACTAACTTGATCCAATTTCTACTAAGTGCGGAAATCGCAGGAAAGTTAATAGCACCTACGATGCTACAGTTTGGAAATAATCGAATTTATGAATTTGCTGGAGACGCATGGCATTAAGGGAACACTAACCTGTCTGACCAGAACATACCGTTTTCACTTATTATGAGCAAGAACATACATATTATACACAGAGTGGAGCAGGACGTGTATACAATCGGCAGAAGGTTGTTCAACATCTAAGAATAAGTCGAAAATGTAGAATAACATTTTTTGTTGTGATTCTTCCTTTTCGAGATAATCGACTTATAACATCCAGGTAACATGTATGCATCCGTGCTGACAATAACATGAAATGGAATGTAATCAACAGACGCGTTAGCCAAGTCCTATTCAATTCCACGCGGATCCAGTAGATTTTGAAATTCGATTATCTCCAAAACGAAGCGTTATCAACATACGAAAAAATTCTTTTCTACATTTTTTAATTATTTTTGTATATAGAATGACCTTCTGCTCAGTTGTTTTACACGTCCTCACCCACTCTGTACGTTACATGAATTTTTAAATTCGATTATTTCGGAAACGTAGTCTCGTATAAAAATTCTTATTCTACATTTGCGACATATTTTTGCACGTAGAGTAAACTCTTGTTAGATTATACAAAAGATTAACAAAAGATTATGCAAAATGAACATAACGTCAACCAATACATAGAAAAGTATATAAATATACATCTAAGATGATGAGGTTTGGAAACATTTTAATAGAAACGTACAATAACATTATCTCGTACGAAGCTTTGTGTTACAGTATAGTATCCTAACTGTTAGTAGGATAAACTTTAGAACCTGTAACTCTGAATAATCCCGAAACATACTGTTCAAGTCTGTTTATCTGTATGTAAATTGTTCTGAATTCAATTATCGTCATTTCAAAGGATATTGCAATAAATATCAAATGTCAAATTACAGAGTTGAATCGATGTTCATCACTAGTTTTATCCGAGTGTTATTTTATGATGACGCAACATTATTTTTCAATACTTTGATTTCAGTATAGTATTTTTCATTGCATAATATTTGTACCATGAAGATATTTAACAGTTATGAATGTAACATGCAAAATGACACTACGAAAAATAAAATAAATGTTTGACAAGGGACTATTACCGAGTGTCAATCACTGATTTTCATGAAACTCGGCCCAGAGCTGGGACATTGGAAAATATTTCAATATTTCATTAGACACATTTTCTATTAGATGTAATCGTTTATGTTACAACAATCACTTTAAAATTTAAATGTTTTGTCTAGTGCCAATAGTTTTCAAGAGGATTGATAAAATAAGGTTTCCATCCCCAACTTTGGAGGCGATTATAATTTTGTGATATTCTCTTGGAAGTAATGTCTTATATGAAAATTTTGTATTGTTTATATGTAATTATACATTAAAACGTGGAAATGAAAAAGTACACAGAAAGTGTGTTGTATTTAATGGTGGACTAAAACTAGGTCTTAATTAAATACTTTTTAACAATATTATCAGGTCACTTACAGTACCGGACAAAAGTATTCGTACACCCTTTAAAACGGAACAACTTTTTTAAAATTGGTGAAAATGACGAGTCCTTTTGTGAAGTTAAGGACATTAGTTGACTAAATGATGTGTAAAAAAAAATTGAAAAAGTTGCAATTGGTCAGAATCGCGATGAAAATAGTAAAGATCGTTTCTTACAACTTTTCAATCTGAGGCTATAATGAAAATTTAATAAATACATATCGAAGATCTATGTTAATTATATACATGTTGAAAATTTCATCAAAATCGGTTAACGTTGCTACGAGATACAAACGATTAAAAATGTTGAAGATCACAGTTTTTCTAGTAGAAATCTAGTAGAAAGAGGAATTTTAAAAAAATAAATTTATACTTTGCCTAATTTGCTGACTCTTGACGAGTCTGGAGGTACCAATTTCACAGCTTAATCATATCACTACTATGTATTTATGCACTCGTATAACTGAAAGATATGTTTCTGTAAATTGACGTACTCCTCAAATGTTGATTTAATCCATACTGTATTATATAGTCGACGTACGTATTTCACAAAGTGCAAACGTTATTAATAATAAGTTTAAAAGCTTTTTGATATTCACGAGTACCAGTTTGAATTTACCATCGAACCAATGTATAAATCATTGTAGTTTTGTTACGTGAAGTACCACATTACATTTTTATTTTCATGTAATTCTTTTCTAACGGTTACAAACATGACGGCTATATATTGCTCAACATAACACAAATTGCAAATATCGAGAAGTACAGGTGCAGGTGCTTCCACGTTCTATTTTTCCCTGCCACATTAATATCATGTTTCGATCCGCGCGCTAATTAAATTTAATTTCGGCTTGAGCTGTTTCTTTAATTGGCCAATGGAATCGAACGAGTTCACAGTCCCGCAACGAGCGCCCACCTCGATCTTGATGTTTATGATTATTGTTCGTTGAAAATTAAATTTCATGTTCCCGTGGAAGGTGGAAGTTAATTAGTGCTGAGAAGGGAAATTTTAAGCTGTTGATGATTCAGCGGGAAACTTTGTTCGATAGTCTGACGTCAGCAATATGAGCCATTTCGGCTTAACTAATTCTAAGACCTCATGTTACGCAGAGTTGCTGCAACATTAAAGACCGACATCGACCCCCTGGAACCGATTAGTATCTTTAAAACGCTTATAATTAGGGGTGTTAATTAAAGTTTCACACTTAATACGAAAGCGACGCAGCTTAATCCATGTTCGAGGTTAATTCGTTAAAACATTGTTACATAAGCAGATTGTGGAAGCAGAAAATTCTGTTCCCTGTTAAATACCAATTGCATTGAGAAAATTTCTGTTTAAAAGTACATTTTTATCATCGGCTCTTACAAAGATTATTATTATTAACGCGTGAGTAATTAAAAAAGTTTAACGCGAATATCCTTTAATTTACAGTGATATTTACAAGCAGTGAAAAATAAAATAATACCAGAAATGTAATATTACGTGAAATAAGAAACGGGACATGAAAAATATGGTCGGATAGAGAAGAGAATACATATATTACTGAATAATGTAGAGAATGTAATATTAACCGACAAGAACGGTAAAAAATGTTCAATTTTTACAATTCTTATGAAACAAACTTATTTTGTATACATAATGTGTCAAAAGTTTGAAATCATTGAATATTACAAGAAATACAAAAATTAAGAAAAAAATTTAGTTACATGTTCATTTATAATTTCAAATCAATACGAATATTAGATTTTAAACTTATGACTAGACTGCGTATGTTGATACATTCATAGCACTTCTCAGCTGGGAAAATATAATAAAATAAAGGTTTCATTAAAGTTAAATAGCACAGTCAAATTAATAGTAAAGCCAATGGTACAGAATTCAAAATTCCACTTCGTTTTAATTGTGAAGTATTAGTATATGAAATTGTGAATTTGGATAAACTGCCACAATCTACTTATGACTACATATTATTACTCTGAAAATCTCACGTTATTTGGGTTGAATCGGATGTGTGCATGGACCACATGTCCACGGTTGTCAATGAAACAAAATGCACATAATACAATTTATTAGTATAAAACGAATATACAAGTTAATATGAGAAATATTAACAATTTTACAAAAACGTAAAAAGTAATTGATTCATACCTTGAAATTATACAGGTTGTTCAAACATTACATATGACACTATATACATATATGTACCATACAGTTACATACATACGACGAATGATGTATATA